CTACTATTTATTTCTCTAAGTTCCGATGGTCGGTCGAAAGAACAGAATCCTCCGATCTAGACCAAAAACCCCTCCCTCCCCACCCCCTGCAAGTAGGGCTAACCCATCTGCAAACTTTGGTCTTGGCCGCATTCAACTGGTCGAACACAAGAATCTCTCTCTCTCTCTCCAACCAAAAGGGTTCAAGGGTCCTAAAATGTGTAATTTGTCATTGGCTGCCTATAACATTTTCTTCAATACATCTAAGGTTATATTTATTCTTGCTCTACTTCTTTCGGTTTCACTTTATGTCTTTTTACTCTTTGAGAGAGTGAAGACTTTTCATGCATTAGCTGCCTTTGGTCGCAAGCAAGAGGACAGGAACTTGGTTTATCTCCGGTTTCAAGAGACCACTACATATAATGGGTCAAGGTGAGATAATCGCCAGCGTCGGTTTAGGGGATCGAAGGCATGGACGGTTGTGATCATCGGTTGTGTCAACCCTTTTTTTTTTTTTTTTAAACTACTTGTAGCAAATATGAATGATGGGAAATCATTGAAAACCTCTTGTATGAACATTTTTTCTTTAAATACCCCCTAAAAGTTTTTTATTTATCTTTTGGTCCTTAATTTAAATTTTGTGCGCTCAATTGTTTACGAACGTCCAATTTTACACACAATTTCATAAAAAAAGTTGTGATGAGTAACTTTTGTAGCTGAGCTGAGGGAAAATTTGGGCAGCAACGCAGAAAATTTAGCCCTTCATTTATAAATATTAAAGTGTAAATAAAATCAAAAGTACGATGTTGGAGTAAATTATAAATATGTAAAAATTTTATGAGTAGGGATAGAAAACTAACTTTTATTTGTTAAAATAGAAAACCTATTTTCTAGAGGGTAAACAAAATAGAAAATAAAAAAAAAGGTAAATTATAAGGAAAACTAATGAGAATGATTTGAAAACTTTGAATTTTAACGATAAAGACAAAATAAAATGGTAAAGTAAATAGTACCTAGGATTAACTTTTTAATGTAAAAATATGATTTTTCGTTAAAATAAACAGTACTGTAAACTTTTCGTTAAAGTTCTTTGAATTATAACCTCTAAATTCAAAGTGCAAGAATATTTTGGCACTTATTTAAATCACCATGACCGTTGGAGCGTGCCAGTTCAGGGGACAAACACGAAATTTCCCCGTCACAGATCTGATGATCTGGAACAATCCTAGCCGTTACAAAAGCTCGCGATCTCGTGAATTCCCGCACACTCTAGGGGTATTTTCGGTAATCTACTGTAAAATAATTCCAAATTGGACCGTTATAACATTCGAAACCCTCTCGACCGTTTCAAAATCCTACTCACTACTCAACACCACCCCCCGCACCCAAAAAAAAAAAAAAAAACTTTCACTCCTTTTCTCTGATACAAAAATCCATGGCCGATGAGAGCACAAAACAATCGATCATGGAGCCAAAGCCCTTACACCCACTTCACCAAATCGCTCAGTCGCCGAGCCACAAGCTTCTCCTGAAGCAATGGCTGAAAGAAGAAGAGCTAAATCTCAACAGGGTCTCTCTCAAAGAATCCCAAATCGACTCGGTTCGAAAGGAAATCACGATTCTTTTCATCATCTTCTTCCTCTTCCACTCCACGGCCCTCACCCTTCTCTTCAGTTCCTCGTCACGGGACCCGCGCGGGTTCGCATGCCACCGGTCCTGGATCCCTTCGCTCTGCTCGCTCTGCTTCTCACTGGGGATCATTTGGGCGATTAGGTATAAAACCGACACGGAGGGCCACCTGGAGAAGTTGTTGGAGAGAGAGAAGGAGGATAAGAATCTTCTGGGAAAGTGCATCGAGGAGCTGAAGAAGAAAGGGTTGGAGTTCGATTTGTTAAAGGAGGTGGACGCGCTGAGGAGGGCCAAGAGCTTGAGAGTCGAAGCGAAGGCAGTAAGGAAGTGGAATGCGAGGGATTTTGTGACACTGTTTTTCTTCACCGTGTCTTGCTTTGTGATCATTGTCACAAGGGTTATTTTGTGTAACTAGGAGGGTAAAAATCGGGTTGGATTTCGGGGATTAGATTGGTTAAATTCTTGGGTTTTGGATAACTGGGGGTTGCAGAATGTTTTATTCTGCTATTTGTAATTGGGGAATTTACATTGGCATGGTTATGAAACAAATCTGGATGACTGCGTATCTTAGCCTTAATATGTTCTTTGTAATTTGAGTCCTTAAAATCCCAAATAAAAGTTTCATTTTGGTGTGGAGGAAAGGCATCCTCTGCAATTCTCAATTTGATGTTGATGTCATGACTGATAATTTCATAAACTTGCAACTTATGGAGGGGCAGTTCAAAATCTACTAATCCACCTTAGCACAATATTCACTTAATAAAAAGGGAATAAAGAGCAAGGTTTGTGGTTTTTCTTCGAGGGCAATTCGAACACAAGACCTCAATCGAGTGCAAGAGTGAATGTAAGCTACAAGAACTACACAAAGTGGCATAACAAGGAGAGGAGGAGAGGGTGGAAAAATTTGGAATGTAGGAAAGAACTAGGGTACCCAAGTTAATAATCGGAACCATCCGGCATCCAAATTCCAAAAAGAGGGAATCGGATTCTCTCCCCTCCTATATTTCAAAACATTGCCACTGCCATGGATATATGTTTTCAAAACATTTAGATCTTGTTAAAGCCAATCAAGGCAATGGATAATAATTGTCGTGGTGTTTTTTATTTCTAATTTGGTAGCATTCTTTTTCAAGTTTTTGCGTTTTAGTATGCATTTTGATTGATAGACAAGATTGGCTTGTTTCCAGATAACTTTAGCTTCTTGGACTGCTTGGTTCATTGGTATAAAACCCTTCTTGGACTGCTTGTTCCATTGGTGTAAAACCCAACATTGTCTCACTTTTTTTCGGTTGCTTTAGATTCTATTCTATTAGATTATCCTCTTTCGGGCATTTCTTTTTCTTATACATTCCAATTTTACGTATTTATCTATTGATTTTTTTTGGCTGACTTACATTTTTTTTCACTTAGTTATGTGAATGCCGATTTTGCGTAGAGTACAGACATACTCTTTTGCCAAAGATTGCATCTGTAAGAGAAGTGGTGCTAGGCGCTCCATTGCAAGGGGTTCAGAGGAAGCTTGCTGCAAGGACTGTTGCGTCCAATATTGATGGGCTTGTTGCTCTTTTGAATCGATCAAACGAGTCCTTTTTTCCTTATTCCTCAGGTAAAATTACATATTAAGGCTAACAAGTTATCATTTTGCTCTTTCTAGCTATATACTTTAGCTCTCTAAATCCAACGACAAAAACCGATCCTCTTGTTTCCCAGCCCACCACCCATAACCATGTCAGATAACAACAACGCTGCTGCACATCAAAATTCCCAACCCTCAAATCAAACCCCCCATCTGCAATGGTTCCTGTCAATCCATTCTCTTCATCCATGACCACCATTATCAACATCAAACTTGACAGAACCAATTATCCGTTGTGGCTGGCCCAGATCCTCTCTATCCTTGAGAGTCGTGACCTGATGGGATATGTTGATGGCTCCGTTGTCTGTCCTGCCAAGCATCTTGCTGGGAGCACCACTGTCAACCCAACCTAGACCACTTGAATGCAGTATGACCAAATGATCCTTAACTGGATCAATGGTTCTCTTACGGCTTCTGTCCTCTCTACTGTGGAAGTAAAAGAACGGCTCGTGCTACCTGGGAATCCCTGGACCAAAGGTATGCTTCCTCATTGCAGAATCAAATACTTTTCCTCCGCAATGAACTACTCCAAAGTAAGAAAGGTGATTTATCTATAGCTGATTATCTTGATAAGATGAATGCAATTGCTGATAACTTGGCTTTAGCTGGTAAGCCTATGGATGGTGATGAACTCATCCAAATTATTTTGAACAATCTTGGTCCGCTTATGAAATTACTGTGTACGCTGCCCAAGCACGTGATACTCCCATCACATACCCAACTCTTGAGGCTCTCCTTCTAACGACAGAGAGAAGGATGATTGAAAAGACAGTTCCCTTGCGATATTTTTTGCAGACGGAAAAAGTGACGGTGGTGTTCCCTATGAGATTCAAGGATTCTAAAGATATTGTTCTCTGCAACTTCCTTCTTGCAGGTTTGATAAGTACATGATCATAAATTGGAAATATGAATTTTCTATCCGGGAAGAGAATGTGATGAAGTCTATTAAATACATGTTGATGAGGCTAATAAGGGTTGCTAGATACCTTAGATAATGCTACCTTGTTAAACTCTGCTACCCTCCAAGCTACGCTTCCTTGGATCTATTTACTCTTGTTTTAACGTGTTGTAATTGCTAAGTGTGATGGTCTTATTACCATCTAGGAATTTGTAGAAGCATTAAGCAAGACGTACGGCTTGTGGTCTCATACCCCTCCTTTAGAATTAAAGGAAGTTGTATAAAGTTAGTATCTTATGTGCAGGAAGTTTGTTTTTTTTTTTCTTTGTCGAATGTCTTTTTGCTTTGTCTGGTTTACTCTCGTTTACAGCTCGTCGTTCAGTTTTCCACGCTGTTAGTCCTTGTCCTGCCCAACGTTTTTGTTCTGCATATTCTTTTGCAGTGTTCAGAGGGTTTCATGCATACAAGGTGAGAAGTCGCGTGGAATATTGGTTGAGGTAGTATTTTCCCTTTCCAGTACAATTTAAGCTACATTGTCTCTATTTATTTCTTCAGTTGCTCGATAATATCTTGAATGGTTCTATGTTAACCATTAGAAAAGAGAACTTGAAGGAAAATGGAAAAAGAAAAGAATTTCCCATCTTCCAGCCTCCCCTCCCCCCTCTCTCAGTAGATGCACATGTTTTGTTAACTCGATTGATCAGTATTTTGTATCACAAGCAAACAGAGCTATTCTTTTACTTAGGTTTGATCCCTAGTTTGCAATGAATCCCATCTGAAATGAAATAGCACAAATGGAAACTCATAGCCTCCAAATAATGCGAAGAAAAGGAGCCGAATGTAGATCTTAATACATAATTGTTTGTCAGAACATTTATTGAGAAATAAAATTCTTTTATTCAATACATAAGTTGCAAGTACGAAAAACACAAAACAGAAAGGGAAAAACATCACATACATATAGTACAATCAAACTTCAGGAAAAAAAAACCTTTGAAAACGAGTCACTTTCAATGCAACTGCTAGTGCTATCTTATCTTTGATGTTGTCGAAGAATTGAAAATAGGCATACCTCCATGATGTCTTTAAGACCAATGTGCCGCAAACGCCCCAAAAACCTACGATAAATCCAAGTCCCAAGCTGACATAGAACCACAACTTGTCATTTTCATCTTCATTCTTGTCTTTTGCATCCTCAGCAGTAAAAGTTTTATCTTCGGGGCACTTAGTTGAAAGAGGAACACCACATAGTGATGGATTTTCCATATAAATGGACGAAAAATTGAGCGTTTGAAGCTGGTGTCCCCAAGGAATTATTCCGGACAAGTTGTTGCAAGACAAGTTCAAGTGGGACAAAAAGGTTAAAGATGACAAGCTTTGAGGAATCTGTCCTGTCAGGTGGTTGTGTGAAAGATCAAGAGTTTCGAGCCAATGCAAGTTTCCGACCTTGAAAGGGATCTTTCCAGTCAATTGATTCATGGACAAATTCAAGGTGCCTAACAGAATGAGGCTACTTATTTCTTCAGGGATTCCACCTTGTAAATTATTTGATGAAAGATCAATGCTCTTTACAAGATTTAGAGTCGTGGTGTACACAAGTTCGCTTCCTTTTAGTGTCAGTGTGGCTTCCTCAATATAAGTAGTAAAGTTTGTATCTGAACCATTGACCATCGAAGTCAAATTATTTAAACACATGGGAATAGTACCTGAAAGATTGTTGTGACTAAGGTCGAGGATATGAAGGTTTCGAAGATTGCATAGATTCTGAGAAATATGTCCACTCAAATAGTTGGACCGTAACCGTAGCCTATACAACATGAATACATTTGATCCCCCTATCCATAGAGGTATGTTCCCAAATAACTTGTTGTCACCCAGATCAATACTCCCTAAACGAGAACAATTTTGCAAGGAATCAGGAATTTCACCGCCAAAACTGTTGTTGTTGAGCTTTAATATTAGCAGTGAACTTAATACTCCTAATGAAGTGGGAATATTACCAGAGAGATTGTTGTGACCAACATCTAGAATCACTATATTGCTCCCCACAATCCACGCACGAGGCAATTCTCCATAAAATTGATTGTTCCTTAAAGACAAGGCTTGCAACTGCTGCAAGTTGCTGATAGAGGGAGGAATAGTGCCATTTAAATGATTCTCAGAAAGATACAAACTTTGCAAACCGGGCATCATCTGATCAATATTTGAGGGAATTGGCCCGAAAAATAAATTATTTTCAAGAAAAAGGGCAATGACTTTAGTGGACGAAAAAAGTGGGAGTGGGCCCTCTAAATGATTATGACTCAAATCAATAGAATATAAATTTGGAAATTTCAAATGGGATGGAAAGTTTCCACGAAATTGATTGTAAGACAAATCTAGCCAAATTACTTGGGAAGATATCTTCAACAACCATTCCTCTGGTATGGAATCTTCAGAGAATTCATTACCACGAAGAGTGACGTCCACTAGTTTAGTTTGAGATTGAAGCCATACCCCAAAACCATGACTTACCCGACAATTTAGGATCACAATTGTGTGGAGCTTGAAAGGAGGAACCCAATTGTAAGCCATGTTGAAAATGAGGGACATTGGTCGTTTTGTATCTCCTATTTGAAAATCTTGTAATCTAGTAAGATTTATGAAATGGGCTTCTGTGAGAATGCCTTCCCATGAATTATAAAACAGATTTAGGGAAACTAGATTAATGAGTTGCCCCATACTTTGTGGAATGAAGCCATTCATATTATTATCAGAGAGGACCAATGTTTTCAAGGATGACAAGTTTCCAATGGAATTTGGAATTGAGCCCCACAAATTATTGTACATAAGGTTGAGATACTGCAAACTTTTTAACATTCCTAAGGAGGCTGGCAGTTGGCTTTGCATCGAACAAAAGGATAAATCTAGTGACTCCAATGTATTATTTGGACAACTTGAGAAACTCTTCCAAAACTCTTCCATTCCCCCATCAAAATTGTTTTGGGTAAGACTTAAAAACTTTAGCTTGCACATCTTTCCAATTTCCTTGGGAATTTGACCGATTAGGCCCGTAGAAGACAAATCAAGATATTCCAGAGATTTGAAGTTTGCAAATTCACTCGGAAAATGATCACTCAAATCATTTCCAGATAGATCAAGTGTTACGAGGCTGGTAAGGTTAAAAAACCAACTGGGAAATGAACTTTTAATATTGTTATTCGACATATCAAGGACCAAAAGTGATGTAAAGTTAATCCTTTGTAGTGAGAGTGGAGGGAAGTTAATCGTCTGCAATGAGAGTGGAATGCTTTCAATTTGGCAGGAAGATAAGTGTAACTCTAACAATGAAGGAAGCATGTTAAAATCATATGCCCAACTGACTCCTGTGAGGCTAAGGTCCAGGTAATTGAGATTAAGGTATTTTAGGGAAGAGAGGTGAGAAAGCCAAGTCATGTTTCTAGAACGTAAGAGGTAATTTACCCCGAGATCAAGAATATCCAAACTTGACAGGTTACCAAGAGAAGGGGGAATCTCTCCCTCAAATGATGCAAAGGAGAGATTGAGATATTGCAAACTTTTAAGCTCCCCAAAGAACATCGGAATGCGAGTGCCATGAAAATCGTTATTGCTTAGGTCCAGGTATTTTAAATGTTTCAAGCTAAGCAAAGAAGCATTTATCTTACCTCCCAAGCAAGACTTTTCATAAGCCGACTCGCCCTGCTCTCCATCAAAAAAGGAATACGTGTTCCGGAGGTCCATCTTGCCGACATGACCGGTGTGGTTGTTGCATGAAAGGCCTTCCCATTGACAGCAATCATGACCCACCCAAGAAGAAAGCCTACCAGAAGGATCAACAAGGTGTTGTTTAAAGCTGACAAGCGCTCGCCTTTCTTCCTCAATGCATAATGGTTTCACAGTGCCACTGCTCGGAACTCCGATACCACCCAAGCAGATCACAGCAGTAGGTAGATACGTAGATGCCAAAAACAAAAGGAGAAAAGAGTGAGAAATATTGAGGTGATTGAATAAGCTTTTTGCAAACAAGGTATCCATTGGAGAAATCAGTGTATAGATGAACACAACAAGTGAACTCAACTCATATATATAATATAACAAGCAATGAGGGCGTAAGGATTATAAAGTGTATCAACTCTATTGAGTTTCACGCGTTTACATTTGTATTTACACCATGAAATTGAAAAAAGCGTGAGATCGAGTGGGGAGAGAGTGGGGAGGGGGACTACTATCTACTAGACTCTCTAGTCTCCATAACGTGACAGAGAAGACAACGACACAACTGCTTCCTACGTACATCAATATAGACCTTGACTTATAGCCCTGTCTGCCGAATATGGATCCTCTTCTAATCCTTTTTGTGAAGATTTTGGGGATTCTTAAACCGTGTCCATTCATCGTGCGGTCAGAAATGATTTTAAATACTTTTATTTTAAATTAAATATGAATAATACCTGACGAAAATTGACCGCACGATATACAATGAATGGACACGATTTAAGAATTCTCAGGATCTTCATAAAGAGGATCAGGAGAGATCCTCCTGGTTGTCTGCCTACATTAAGTTTAACATTGACCAAAACCTGCTCTCATTCATTATCCGACGGAAACTACATTTCCTTGTTCAAAGTGTTCAAAGTATCAGACAAGTTTCTAACACCATCGTATTAATGGCTAAATTACAATTGCAACCATATTTAGCTCGATTCCTTCTTCCCAATCAATCAAGAAGTGTAGTAGGTGAGATGTGTTAAAAGAAGACATAAACCACGGAGTTGTTGCGGTTGTAGCTCCAAGACGATATAGAAACTCAGAAATTGTTGTTCAGTAAATTTCTTTTTCATAACATTAGAGGATGTCACAAGTTCAAATAATTTTGTCCGTTATTAAGACAAGACCTTAGGACCTCGCTATATTGTTTTTCAATACTACGTCGTATTGCCACAGGAAATTTTGGATTCCAAGAAACCAAATTGAAATCCAAATAAGGAAGAGAAATAATAGAAAATGATGAAATTAAATAACTGAAACTATAGAACAAAGACCTAAATGAACAATGCTTCCCAAACTTCCAAAAAGAGGGTGGTGAAAATGTTCAACGTCATCCCAGTCAAGAAAATGTTGACAATGATATATTACATAAACAGACTAAATTTCACTGATGGTCCTCTTGTTGAATCAACGTATCATAATTACCGTCAAGCAAAAAAATTCTCTTGAGAACAAAACTTGGCATTGGGGAGGAGGACTACTAGTCTACTAGACTCTCTAGTCTCCTTTCTCTTTCAACCCCTTCTCTCGTACTTTCCTTTTTGTCATTTTTTTTTCAATAAAAAAAATCAACACAAGATATTGACGTACAAATAAAAAAGAAGGAAAAATGAGAGAATTTTAGAGGAAAAAGAAAATTCTACTCCCAAATGCTCTTACGTACAGCAGTAAAACCCTTGACTTATAGTCAATCTCACAATTTAATAATTTTAAAACTCTAGCACGAAAAAACTAAAATCAAACATTGATTTGTGCCACTCAGTACTACAATATGGTGATATTCTTCTTCATTTGCAAGTGAGAGGTCTTAGGTTCGAATCTCGTGGACGACGAATTCAATTCTAAATTAGGTAGCCCATCGTATGATTTAACCGAACTTCTCTATTTTCTTAGTATAAAATATATCAATGCACTAAAAAAATATATTGTTTCGCAGTCTTCCAATCTTTTGGTATCTTTGACACGTTCCGACAGTAGCATGACTTCCTCTTCTTGAGCAAGAAATTCAGGAAACCTTTTACCTAAACCTTCACAAATTTTTATTAACACTTTAAAATAATCATTGTTACACTTGTTGCGTTCTTTTTTTTTTTTTTTTTTTTTTTCCACCAACAGGGAATACAAGAGATTTTCTATGGAATTTTTCGAATTTTTTCTCTGTAAGGTGTCCACGCATTGCATATTCCGGTGCAAGATACGCACTGCATCATTGACAATTATGCGTACTACTTGTCACTAACATAACATATATGTAAGACAATGAAATTGAAGAGCTATATCTGAAAATAAAAGTAAGTCGACTAAATCATTAAGAGCTTACATTGTTCCTGCAACCTGGGTACTTATGTGAGTCTTCTTATCATCATAAAGCTTCGCCAAACCAAAATCTGATATTTTGGGGATGAGATAGCAGAATATTACTGGCCTTCACATCTCTGTGCACAATACGAAGCCCTGATTCCTCGTGAGGATAAGTTAAGCCTCTTGCTACACCCCAAGCATATATCAAAACGCTTTGACCAATCGAGATTTAAACTTCTTTTTCCAGTTTAATAAAAGACATTGTGAGAGATCTTTAGAATGTTTTATATTGTACATGAAGCAGTAATGATGTTCTTCTCATACCAAACAATGCTTGATCAAGACTCTTGTTCTCAAGATACTCATACACGAGAAGTCGTTTATCTCCCTCTATGCAGAAGCCGTACAAATTCACTTGGTTATTGTGTTGCACGGCAGAGATAGTGGCAATCTCAGTTACAAACTGGTTCTTTCCCTGGTGGGATGCTGCAGACAATTGCTTCACGCCAATTACTCTTCCATCATTAAGGGTTCCCTACTAATAACAAAATTCATCAACATTTAGCAAAATTAATATAAACCATTACGGCATTACCATTCACAACACAGCCTCAGAAATGCACTGTTTTCGGTCCTGGTCCACAATAATAGGAGATCTTTTTCATTACATCCAGGAATATGTGATAGATATGTCAGAATTTTATCCTTGTATCAATTAGTAAACACTTAGGCATTGGCATGGGTGCACCACAGCCACACCAGTCGTTGTTTAGAATAATAAGTTACCTTATAGACAGGTCCAAATCCTCCCTCCCCAAGTTTACTAGCTGGATTAAGGTCATTTGTAGCTGTCTTTAGTTCCCAAAAACTAAAAGTGAGCGGTCTGATATCTATCCCTAACGGATCTGCAAATTCAACACAACATACCGTTATATTTGTAAACCTATTTCTCTAGCAATCATTTTGCTTCTTTTTTTCAGTGATAGACAATACAAGTAACAGATTACCTTCATTGTCTATGATGTTAGGCCGATTCCTTCTTTGGAAAATATAGAAAACGACCACCCCCAGAATCAAAATTCCGCCACCAACAACGAACCCCACAATTAGCCCAGTCCTATTCTTCTTACTGGCTGGGGCATTATTACCGACAGTAGGTATGAAATCTGTGCAAAAATTCAGTAGTAAACAGCATGGCACTACTTTGGGAAAACATTAGAAGCTAAATTTCGTAAATTGCATCTAAAATTTCGACATCATTTTTACCTGGTGTAGCGCTGATAGCTGAAATAGCAGGTCCATATGTACCCTGCCCAGGTATGCAGCAAGTCCCCTTTCCAGCCCGAAAGAGATGGATTTCTAGGTAGTTCTCTGAAACCTGAACCTAGAACTCCTTCTGAATGGCTTGGAAAGATGCACCTGCCTCTTTTCGTATATCAAAATCCTTTGAAAACAGATTGCCCTGAAAACAGACAAAGTAGGGATGAAGACCAGGGGGTTAAGTTTGCAGAAATTACGAGAGATCACATGATGTTTGATTTCACTATGAACGATCCTAATAACAATGCATTTGATTGCATCCCAAGTAATGAGCAAATACTTATCAACTTTACCAATGCAAGCAAGAAAAAAGTTAACCACATGAACTCAGAACATAGTATTATCAAACAATTCCTTGAGATGACACAGACCTGGATATAAATATCAAATACTCGTCTTCCAAGACTTTTCCGTGTAGTAGAATCTAGGATAGCTGTTTCTGCAAATTCGAGGCTCACAGTGTATTTACCAGTCTCAAGCCCCAACCCATAGTATCTAAGTGACGAAGCAGAGAGCCTTGCAGTCTGGAATAGCTCAGAGTTTAAAGTATTTTTGAATTGGGATGATGAGAAACTTGTATACTGGGGATTGTTACTCCCAGTGAAGTATCCAACATTGCTAACTGCCCATCTGTTTGCACCAGTCGCAAAATATGAAGCTGGACCAAGGGTCTCATTTTCTCTATCGTACACAATCCCATCGGAAGATGTAATCTGAGGACCACCACATTTAATCCCAAAGTTATAATCTGCACAGAAATACAAAAAAGGTACAAATCATGGTATGTTCAGAAAGGCATGCTAATCAAGAAGTTTATCGTGCTTTAATGCCAAAACATTTCCTGCTTGGAGGAATTCCACTCCAATAATAGCCAAATGGATTTTGACAAAACTTACAGATTCCAGGGCCACGGTTGCAAGGAAAGTTCTGTTGAAGGCAATTCAACCCCGAAGGAAGAACACTGAAATAAAAAGAAAAACAAATAGATAAGTACTCAGGATATGGAAACAAATGAAAGACAATATGGAATGGAGAAGTCTCCTTAGATATTTCTAAGTAGTCAACTAAGTGACGACGGTTAAGAAATTGATTCATAAATTCCACACTGGGATATTGGTGTAAGATATATGGGGCAAATATATATCATGATCAAGTCATTATGTCATTTGATTGATCTGGTACTGTGATAGAAGGATGCTGAGTACTGAACCGATTAGGGGTTCAACTCAGGATCCAAGTTAGTAGTGCACCAATTCTGATGAAGCCTGAGATGGTGGCATTACACTAGTAACCACAATTACTATACTTGAGTGGCAAACAATGACATATAAATTCTAAGTGGCAGGCAGCTTGCACATCCATTATCGAAATGTTCAAAACACTAAATGAACTGCAGAAGCAAAGAATCACCTGCTGTCCGAACTTTCTATACTGAAGTTGTTGGCAACTAAATTACTGCAAAGTAGACCAAGAAATATCAATGGCTTTATGTCTTAATTCTTAATTATATAATCCAATCCCATCCTGCAAAAAAAAAATCTGCAGGGCTGTTTGAGACCATGTAGCTATAGAGCTAGCAATATATAATATAAAAAGAGTAAACAAAAAAAAAAACTAAAACCATAGTGAAATTTCAAGACATACAGTCGTAAATTTTCTTCGTTGACCCAAGAAGGAAAGCTCCCAAGTAGAAAATTGTAAAACAAATCTCTGCATGCATATCATGGAGAAACATCAAATACATATTTCATACAACTAATATATTAACAGTACTGTAATCACGATTATCATGCATGTTCTTTATATATG